CCCATGAAGGTGCTCGGTCAATCTTAGCGAAGTGCACCTCAGACCTCTTTCCTGAGTTCCAGCTCTTTCCACTCATTGCTGCAGGCAGGTAGCCAATACCATGACCTCATACCTCAGCCTAAATGACACCTCCTCTGCCCTGTGCCCACAATGCCCATGTGTGAGTGCCTGGGCTGAGGAACAGGAGGCTGAGGGAGAAGGCGGCCCACCACGTCTGCCCAACCTGCTTCTCGTTCCTTCTGGTCCCTGGGGTGGCGACTGTTTGGGGGGACTCCAGTGCTTTGGACCCCCGAAGGGTGCAGAGTGCAGGGATGCACTGGCAGGCAACAAGGCAGGGCCCCGGGGGCAGTCATCTGCCACACAGACAGTGCTGTTCACAAGGGCACACACGGGGGTGGTAGGGGCAAGGGGTGTTCAGCCCTGGGAGGAAACGCCCCTCACGGGTGACGCTGCAGGGATCCCAGGGTTCATACAAAAACCCCCAGACTTTCCTTGAGCCAGGCCACAGTGTGTCTGCACTACCGTGGGTTCCCCTCCCTGCAGCCACCTCCTCCGCTCCCATCCCTGGGTCGCCCGAGTCCACAGGGAAGAAGCATGTGTGGCAGACACCTCCATTCAGCCTGAAGCTTGCTGCCACTCCCCCTGGTGGTGTCCTTCCTGGGGGCGGACCATCGGCTCCTGTGTGGGGCTCCAGAACCTTCTGTGCTTAAAGAAGTGAAGGATCAAATGGGCACAGACACCAGCTGGGTCCATCCGGCCCCTAGGAGGGCCAGGCAGGGTGCAAGGGAGCAGGCAACATGGGTGCAGCTCGGGCGCCGGCAGGAGAGGCCTGGGCTGTGGGGTGGGGCACAGGGGGCCCCTCAGCTGCCCCAGCCCTGGGCTCCAGGCTCCCAGACAGCTACAGCCCCCGCCCCCACCCCAGCTGTACTCTGACAGAGGGCCAAGGAAGGGCAGCCACTGGTCACGGCCAGACCAGCATGGCTCCTCACCCTCACATCCTCCCCTGCGGCCGTAAGGTGGACAGATGCCTGCCGGTTTGCCAGGGTCACTCTGGGTGAGCCCTGTCCCCCCAGGCCTCACCCCTGACAGCCTTCACTCCGTGACCATCGCTACCTCAGGGTCTACTTCAGCCTTTGCTTCCTCACCTCTCGGCCCCCAGACAGCCACATGGAGCCACGACCTCCAGCAGGGCACCCACCTCGCACCCACGTGGCCTCAGCCCAGAGTCAAGCTCCCGGGGGTCGCACAGGCCAGGCCACATACACCTGGCCCCACCACAGCCAGACCACAGACCAGACATGACGTTGGAGGCAAGCAGCCACCACTGGTGGGACAGGAAGTGGGCAAGTGACCCATCTGTGGGCCAGACACAGTCATGCAATCCCTCCCAGCCCACCCCTCACAGCCTCAGCCCGCCTAGGGCGGCAAATACCCCAGAGCAGGGCAGGGGGCTACTGAGATCACACAGCCATCAGGCCAGCCTACAGGAGGCCATGGCCTCCAACCTCACTCCAGTCCCGTGGGGAGGCAGGCCGAGGGACATGCAGCACTGGGCCACCGGGCAAAGGGAGGCCTGGCCTCTCAGATGTAACGGACCCTCAGGCAGCCTCGAGCAGGTGGGTCCAAATGTGGTTCCGACTTTATCTCCTCAGTCAGACCATCTTGAACCCTGCTGGGCCCAAGAGGATGAAGAATAGACACCAAGACCGAGCAGAGGAAGAAAGAAAGATTGGCCTGGAGGCCATAGATATCACCGGGCAGAACACTAGAATAAGCACAATTAAGGCTACTGTGAGCTACGCTAGACTGGGCTGGCCTGGGCTGAGCTGAAGTGGACAAGCTGGGCTGGGCTGGGCTGAACTAGGCTCAACTCGGCTGAGCTGGGCTGAGCTGGGCTGAGCTGAACTGGGCTGAGCTGAGCTGAGCTGAGCTGGACTGAACTAGGCTGAGCTGGGCTGAGTTGGGCTGAGTTGGGCTCAGCTGGACTGAGCTGGGCTCAACTGGGCTCAACTGGGATGAGCTGAGCTGGACTGAGCTGGGCTGAGCTGAGCTGGGCTGAGCTGAGCTGGGTGAGCTGAACTGGGCTGAGCTGAGCTGGGTGAGCTGGGCTGAGCTGGGCTGAGCTGGACTCAACTGGGCTGAGCTGGGCTGAGCTGGACTCAACTGGGCTGAGCTGGGCTGGGCTAAGCTGAACTGGCCTGAGCTGGGCTGAGCTGGGCTGAGCTGGGCTAAGCTGGGCTGAGCTGAACTGGGCTGAGCTGGCTGAACTGGGCTCTACTGGGCTGAGCCAGACTGAACTGGGCTCTACTGGGCTGAGCTGAGCTGGACTGAACTGGGCTGGGCTGGGCTAAGCTGAACTGGGCTGAGGTGGGTTAAGCTGGACTGAGCTGGGCTGAGGTGACCTGAGCTGGGCTCAGCTGATCTGAGCTGAGCCGGGCTAGGCTGACCTGAACTGGGATAAGCTGGACTGAGCTGTGCTGAGCTGAGCTGGACTGAACTGGGCTGAGTTGTGCTGAGCTGGACTGAGCTGGGCTGAGCTGAGCTGAGCTGGGCTCAACTGGGCTGAACTGGGATGAGATGAGCTGGGCTGAGCTGCGCTGAGCTGAGCTGGACTGAGCTGGGCTGAGCTGAGCTGGGCTGAGCTGAGCTGAGCTGGGCTAGGCTGGGCTGGACTGAGCTACACTGAGCTGAGCTAAGCTGAGCTGGACTGAACTAGGCTGAGCTGGGCTGAGTTGGGTGAGCTGGACTGAGCTGGGCTCAACTGGGCTCAACTGGGATGAGCTGAGCTAGACTGAGCTGGGCTGGGCTGGGCTGGGCTAGGCTGGGCTGGACTGAGCTACACTGAGCTGAGCTGAGCTGGACTGAACTGGGCTGAGCTGGGCTGAGTTGGGCTGAGCTGGGCTGAGTTGGACTGAGCTGGGCTCAACTGGGCTCAACTGGGATGAGCTGAGCTGGGCTGAACTGGGCCGAGCTGGGCTGGGCTGAACTGGGCTGGGCTGAGCTGATCTGAGCTGAGCTAAGCTGGGCTGGGCTAAGCTGGACTGAGCTGGGTTGGGCTGAGCGGGCTGACCTGGGCTGATCTGAGCTGAGTTGGGATGGGCTGGGATCAACTGGGCTCAACTGGGCTGAATTGGGCTGAGCTGAGGTGGACCATCTGGGCTGGGCTGGGCTGAGCTGGGCTAGGGTGAGTTGAACTGGGCTGATCTGGGCTGAGTTGGGCTGAGCTGGACTGAGCTGGGTTGAGTTGAGCATAGGTGGGCTGAGCTGGGCTTACCTGGGCTGAACTGGGCTGAGCTGGACTGACTTGGGCTAAACTGGACTAAGCTGGACTGAGCTGGGCTGAGCTGAGCTGGGCTGGGCTGAGCTGAGCTGGGCTGAGCTAGACTGAGCTGGGCTGGGCTGGGCTGGGCTGGGCTGAGCTGGGCTGGGCTGAACTAGGCTGGGCTGGGCTGAACTAGGCTGAGCTGGGCTGAGCTGAACTGAAATGGACTGAACTGGGCTGAGCTGGGCTGAGCTGGGCTGGGCTGAGCCGGGCTGAGCTGGGCTAAGCTGGGCTGAGTTGGGCTGAGCCAGACTAAGCTGCGCTGAGCTGGGCTGAGCTGGGCTGAGCTGAGCTGAGCTGGGCTCAAGTGGGCTCAAATGGGCTGAGCTGAGCTGGGCTAGGCTGGGCTGAGCTGAGCTGGGCTGAACTGGGTTGAGCTGGGCTGAGCTGGACTAAGCTGGGATGAACTGGACTGAGCTGGGCTGAGCTGAGCTGAGCTGGCTCAACTGGGCTAAGCTGAGCTGGGCTGAACTGGGTTGGCCTGAGCTGAACTGAGCTAGGCTCAACTGGGCTGAGCTGAGCTGAGCTGGGATTAACTGGGCTCAACTAGGCTGAACTGAGCTGTGCTGAGGTGGACTACCTGGGCTGGGCTGGGCTGAGCTAGGGTGAGCTGAACTGGACTGAGCTGGTCTAAGCTGAGCTGAGCTGAGCTGGGTTGAGCAAGACTGAACTGGGCTGGGACGAGCTAGGCTGAGCTGGGCTGAACTAGGCTAGGCTGGGCTGAACTGGGCTAGGCTGGGCTGAACTGAGCTGGGCTGGGCTAACCTGGGCTGAACTGGGCTGAGCTGGGCTAAACTGGGCTGGGCTGGGTTGAGCTGGGCTGAACTAGGCTGAACTGGGCTCAGCTGGGCTGAGCAGGGCTGAACTGGGCTCAGGTGGGCTGAACTGAGCTGAGCTGAAATAGGCTGAACTGGGCTCAACTGGGCTCAGCTGGGCTGGGCTGGGCTGAACTGGGCTGAGCTGAGCTGAAATTTGTTGAGCTGGGCTGAAATTGGCTGAGTTGGGCTGTACTGGGCTAGTGACTGAGGTGAATGGGAAGGGGTAGGCTGGGTTTGTATCACCCCCCAGAGATCTAGTCGGCAGCCAGGCTTTTCCCTGTGTTCTAAGGGCTACATGGGGGCATGCTACTTAGGTTGTACCCATGATGCTTTCTCTCCCCTCACCAGTTCCCTGAAGGGAATTGGTCCTGTACATGTGGGTAGACCACACTCTGTGTTTCTGCCTTTTCCAGTAGGGACATCTTCCAACCCAGTTGGAATTGGGCCTCTGACCTCCAAAGCCTCATAGACCAGAGATCAACCGTCACTAATAGGGAGGCTGGGGGTGGGATTAGTGGTTTGACAGGGAGCCTGACTGGGAAGTGGGAAGGGGGTCCCAGGAGAAGCGGGCTCCCTCCCCTCCCTGTGCCACCCCCTGCACAGCCAAGAGGCCGTGGTGCAGGCTTGCTTCAAGCCTGGACTGCTCTGTCCTGGCCTGTGCCCTCCCTCTGGACCCAACCCTGTGAGCCCCAAAGCCCAGGGGAGAGTGTGTCTGCACCCACTGCACAGATGGGAAACAGAGGCCCCAGCAGCTCCTGCAGACTCAGCCAGTGAGCGGGAGAGCCATGTTCAATACCCACAAATCCAGAGGCCTTCCCCGAGGAATGTGTCCAGGTGGTCATGCTAGAACCCTGAGGACCATGTTCCGAGACAGTGCAGCTGGACTCAGGCATCTGGTTCCGACCCCAGGTCCTTGGCATGTGAGCTGAGAGCCCTGGGGCAGTCACTCGCCATCTCTGTGCAAGCTTCCTCCAGCGCACAGAAGAGACAGGCTTCGTGCTGGGATTGTGAGGCTGCGTCAGGGGCCTAGGGTGCTGCCTACTGCCTCACAGAGCGTCCTGTGTTGCAGAGGCCAAAACCAGCCCCAGTGTCTTCCCACTGAGCCTCAGCAGCCCTGACAAAGCTGGACACGTGGTCATCGCCTGCCTGGTCCAGGGCTTCTTCCCGCCAGAGCCCGTGAATGTGATCTGGAGCCCCAGCAAGGAGGGTGCGTCCGTCAGGAACTTCCCCCCAGTGAAGGCTGCTGGGAGCCTGTACACCATGAGCAGCCAGCTGACCCTGCCGGCCAACCAGTGCCCTGACACCTCGTCCCTGGAATGCCAAGTGCAGCACTCCTCCAGCCCCAAGAAGACTGTGTCCGTGCCATGCATAGGTCAGAGGATGGGCTGGGGGCTGGGGGCTGGGGGCTGGGGGCGGGGAGGGGGCCGAGGGGCATGCTGACCTGCTGCAGTCTCTGTCTCAGTTCCAGGGCCTAACTGCTCTTGTAAATGTCCCTCGTGTGAGGAGCCCCGCCTGTCACTGCACCAGCCCGCCCTCGAGGACCTGCTTCTGGGCTCCAATGCCAGCCTCACGTGCACGCTGAGCGGCCTGAAAGACCCCAAGGGTGCCTCCTTCACCTGGAAGCCCTCCGGGGGCAAGGATGCCATCCAGAAGAGCCCTGAGCGTGACCCCTGCGGCTGCTACAGCGTGTCCAGTGTGCTGCCAGGCTGTGCGGAGCCATGGAACCGTGGGGAGACCTTCTCCTGCACGGCCACCCACCCCGAGTCCAAGAGCCCGATGACTGTCAACATCAGCAAAACCATAGGTGGGCGCAGACCCTGCCTGGGAGGCCCGGCAACACCCGAGCCCGCCTCCTCTCTCCCACCCACAGTCAACAGAGGGAAACTGAGGCCTGGGGTGCCCAGGGCAGAGGGGCCCTCCCCCCCCACTGGCCCAGACCCCTGACCTGGCTCTCTGCCCCCCAGGAAACACTTTCCGGCCCCAGGTCCACCTGCTGCCGCCGCCGTCGGAGGAGTTGGCCCTCAACGAGCTGGTGTCGCTGACCTGCTTCGTGAGGGGCTTCAGTCCCAAGGACGTGCTGATCCGCTGGCTGCAGGGGACCCAGGAGCTGCCCCCAGAGAAGTACATGACCTGGGAGCCCCTGGAGGAGCCCGGCCAGAGCGTCCCCACCTTCGCTGTGACCAGTGTGCTGAGGGTAGACGCCGAGGCCTGGAAGCAGGGGGACAAGTTCTCCTGCATGGTGGGCCACGAGGCCCTGTCCCTATCCTTCACCCAGAAGACGATCGACCGCCTGGCGGGTAAACCCACCCACGTCAACGTGTCTGTGGTCATGGCAGAGGTGGACGGTGTCTGCTACTGAAACGCCCACCTGCCCCTCCCTGAATAAACTCCATGCTCCCCTGGAGCAGCCCCGTGCTTCCATGAGGCCGCTGTCTGTCCATATTCGGGGTCTGTGGCACACGGAGGCAGGGGAGGGCCCCGGGGGGAAGGGCACCTGCTTCTCTGACCCTTTTGGGCCTCACTTGCCTGGGTCAGCCTGGCACCTCCACGTGCCCTCACACCATGGACTTGTGTGTGTGTGTGTGTGTGAGAGAGAGAGCATCCGTGTGAGCACATGGTCCATGGCGGGCAAGCTGGGAGCAAAACCCGGGGCTGACAGCCAGCGGATCCTGAGAGCAGGGGCACCAGCAAGCCCTCCGTGGGCAGTGAAGCGCTTGCCTGTATCTCAGAGGGAGGCAGGGGAGCGGGGCCCCTGAAGAGGCTGGTGTCCCTGCCAGGAGTCGTGGCAGGAATGGGGGGAGGGCAGGATTCCAGGGGGGCCCACAACATCCTTGGTGGGTGCAGTGCACACAGTTGCAGGACAGCCCCATGGCCCCATGGATGCGCTCGACAAGGAAGCCACCCCGCTCCAAACTGCTCTGCACACAGCACACCCACGCACACACACAGTCTCCCCATGCTCGCAGTCACACGCCCTCCAGGTGCAGGGAGTCCCCCGCCTGGCCCCAGCCCAGCAAGATTCCCCACGCCCTTCCCTGCGTGCCCCACTGGGCACAGCTCAGGGCCCAATTCCACAGACCCCACCCAGGCAGCCCCAGCCCCTGCCTGACCCCCAGACTCAAGTTTCCCACCCTTTCCTGAGACCAAGGATGGTCCAAACCACAGATGGGGGGGCAGGCTGGGGAGGGGTCAGTAGAGACAGCCCCCACCCAGGGCCCCTCTGCAGCTTCTGCCAGAGGCTTCTGGCAGAAAGGGAGGTTTGGGGAGACAGAGCATAGAGGCAGAACTGTGGCCACCGTGGGACAGCCGGTGGTACGGTTCCCACAAGGGGGCAGCGGGGCTGCTGCTCTTGCCTCAGATACCTTCTGGGCTTCCCCAGGGGACCCGGCCTTCTGGCTTCCTCCCTCTGCTCCCAGGGCCAAAGTGAGGTGGGGACCCCTACCCACATGGTCATTGCTCCCCTCTCAAGGGTCCAGTCACCAAAGGGCAACAGAGGGAGCAACAGGTTAATTGGGGGGAGTGCTGCCATAGAGAAAGTACTCCAGCCACCAAGAGAGCCAGTACCTGGCCCATAGAAAGAGTATTCTAGAGAGATGCGGAGGGGAAGAAGCGTCCATAGCTGGGCAGGGCAGCAGAGGGACAGATCGTAGGACATGTAATGGATGGAAGTATGGACAGATGGATGGATGGATGGAGGGAGGGAAGGAGGGATGGATGGATGGAGGGATGGATGGATGGATGGATGGATGGATGGATGGATGGTTGGACAGATGGATGGACAGTTGGATGGGTGGGTGGATGGATGGATGGATGGATGGATGGATGGATGGATGGATGGGTAGATGGATGGACAGATGGATGGACAGACAGGTGGATGGATGGATGGATGGATGGATGGATGGATGGATGGATGGACAGGCGGATGGATGGATGGATGATTGGATGTGTCAGCATATGACAAGCAGGTCCAAATCCCATTTAACACAGACGGTCTGTAGCCTGGGATCCTGAAAACAGCCTATGCTGGTGGCCTTCACCTGGGCCTCCCTCATGCTCCTTGTACCTTATCAGCCACATTCCCTGGGAAGGCAACATGCCCATCCAGCCCTTGGCACACTGAACCCCAGATGTAGATTTATGTCTCAACCTGTAGCACCCTGAGGGTGGCATGTCTGGTCCTCTCTGACCCCAGCCAGGGTCCAGACCAAGGCTGAACCAAAAGCAAGGGCTTGGTGAGGGCTTGGTGAGCACGCCCATGGGGCTGGGACCCAGGAGGCCTTGGGCTTGGGCTCTATTTAGAGCAGCAAAGCCAATGCCCACCCTCTCACCATGCCAGGCCTCTCTCCCTAAGGTCCTGCCAGGACTCCTTTGGCTATTGGGGTCCTCTAGGGACCTGTCACCTCACCCTCCCTGAGGCAGCCTCAGACCTGAGAGAGGGTACCCCTGTTGCCCCTGTCCTGACCCTGAGGGTGCATGGGAGGGGAAGGCATTGGTTCGACCCCCCACCCACGCAGGCATGGGTCTGGCAGACCCACAGTGTCTTGCAGATTGCCGGGAACCACTTCCCTGGCTGGTGCTGGACCTGCCACAGGAGGACCTGGAGGAAGACGCCCCAGGAGCCAGCCTGTGGCCTACCACCGTCACCCTGCTCACCCTCTTCCTACTGAGTCTCTTCTACAGCACAGCACTGACTGTGACAAGCGTGCGGGGCCCAGCTGACAGCAGAGAGGGCCCCCAGTACTGAGCAGAGGCCAGCCAGGCACAGGTAGGGGTGAGGAGGCAGAGTCCTGGGCTGGCTGGGGCAGGGGGGTCGGCCACCAGAACATCTGCCTGTGCCCCGCCCCTGGGGGCCTGACTTACCAAGGAGGTGGTCCCCCCTCATAGACACTGAGGGTATGGGCAGTCCTGGGGGCAGAGCTGAAATGTCTCTCAGCAGGATCTGGGAGTTAGCACCCCTGGGTACAGTCACTGAAGGATTCAACCCATCTCCCCTGAGGCAGGCAGGGCTAGGGAAAAGGCATTCGCAAGGAGCTCCCCTGGGCCCTGACCCCACTGTGTTTTCAGGGAGGAATCTGGAGGAGCCTCCTGGAACCCCAGCTGGATGCCAGAGCTCAGCCCTGCTCAGAAGCTGCCCACTCACCCCACACGCAGGCCTTGCTGGTGCAATAAACTGATCCCAAAGACAAAGGTTCTCAGACTCTAAATGAGAGGAGGGGGAAGGAGAGAGACAGAGGCTTGGGAGAGGGGGACACTTGCCTCATGGCCCAAGGTGAGGCCCCCTTCACCTACAGCCCACCTGATCTGGTCCTGCATAAGGCACAGGCACAGGATAAGACTGTCCTTCACCAAGGACAGTATGAAGCAAGACCACTCCCAAGCACTGCACCCAGGACCCTGGTCCTGGTCACTGAGCCCTGGTTCTGACCACTGGGCCCTGATCCTGGTCACTGAGCCCTGGTCCTGTTCACTGAGCCCTGATCCTGGTCACTGAGCCCTGGTACTGATCCCTGGGCCCTGGTCCTATTCACTGAGCCCTGATCCTGGTCACTGAGCCCTGGTCCTAATCACTAGACCCTGGTCCTGATCACTGGACCCTGGTCATGATCATTGAGGCCTGGTCCTGGTCACTGGGCCCTGGTCCTAGTCACTGAGCCATAGTCCTGTTCACTGAGCCCTTGTCCTGATCACTGGGCCCTGGTCATGATCACTGGGCCCTGGTCACGATCACTGAGGCCTGGTCCTGATCACTGAGCCTTTGTTCTGACCACTGGGCCCTGTTCCTAATCACTGGGCCCTGGTCCTGGTAACTGAGCCCTGATTCTGGTCACTGAGCCCTGATCCTGGTCACTGAGCCCTGGTACTGATCACTAGGCCCTGGTCCTGGTCATTGAGGCCTGGTCCTGGTCACTGAGCTCCGGTTCTAATCACTAGACCCTGGCCATGATCACTGAGGCCTGGTCCTGATCACTGGGCCCTTGTCTTTGTCACTAAGCCCTGGTCCTGATCACTGAGCGCTGGTCCTAGTCACTGAGCCCTTGTCCTGATCACTAGGCCCTGGTCATGATCACTGAGCCCTGGTCCTAGTCACTGAGCCCTTGTCCTGATCACTAGGCCCTGGTCATGATCACTGAGCCCTGGTCCTGGTCACTGAGCCCTTGTCCTAATCACTAGGCCCTGGTCTTGATCACTGAGGCCTGGTCCTGATCACTGGGCCCTGGTCCTGATCACTAGGCCCTAGTCATGATCACTGGGCCCTGGTCACAATCACTGAGGCCTGATCCTGATCACTAGGCCCTGGTCATGATCACTGGGCCCTGGTCACGATCACTGAGGCCTGGTCCTGATCACTGGGCCCTGGCCATGATCACTGAGCCTTTGTTCTGACCACTGGGCCCTGTTGCTAATCACTGGGCGCTGGTCCTGGTAACTGAGCCCTGATTCTGGTCGCTGAGCCCTGATCCTGATCACTGAGCCCTGGTACTGATCACTAGACCCTGGCCATGATCACTGAGGCCTGGTCCTGATCACTGGGCCCTGGTCTTTGTCACTAAGCCCTGGTCCTGATCACTGAGCGCTGGTCCTAGTCACCGAGCCCTTGTCCTGATCACTAGGCCCTGGTCTTGATCACTGAGTCTGGGTCCTGGTCACTGGGCCCTGATCCTCATCACTGAGCCCTAGTCCTGGTCACTGAGCCCTTGTCCTGATCACTGGGCACTGGTCATGATCACTGGGCCCTGGTCCTGATCACTAGGCCCTGGTCATGATCACTAGACCCTGGTCATGATCACTGAGGCCTGGTTCTGATCACTGGGCCCTATATTCTGGTTTCTCTTCAGATCGTATAAATCTTTCGCCTTTTACTGATCACTGGGCCCTGGTCCTAATCACCAGGCCCTGGTCATGATCACTGAGGCCTGGTCCTGGTCACTGGGCCCTGGTCCTGGTCACTGAGCCATAGTCCTGGTCACTGAGCCCTTGTCTTGATCACTGGACCTTAGTACTGTTCACTGGGCTTTGGTCCTTGTCACTGAGCCCTAGTCCTGATCACTGAGCCCTGGTCCTGGTCCCTGAGCCCCTGTCCTGATCACTAGGCCCTGGTCCTGGTCCCTGAGCCCTTGTCCTAATCACTAGGCCCTGGTCATGATCACTGAGGCCTGATCCTGGTCACTGGGCCCTGGTCCTAATCACTAGGCCCTGGTCATGATCACTGAGTCTGGGTCCTGGTCACTAAGCCCTTGTCCTGATCACTAGGCCCTGGTCCTGATCACTGAGACCTGGTATAACCACTGGACCTTGGTCCTGGTCACAGAGCCCTGGTTCTGATCACCGGGCCTTGGTCTTAGTCACTGAGCTCTGGTACTGATCACTGGGCCCTGGTCCTGGTCATTGTGACCTGGTACTAATCACTGAGCCCTGGTCCTGGTCATGATAACTAAACCCTGGTCCTCATCACTGGGCCCTGACCCTGGTCACTGTGCCCTGGTCCTGGTCATTGAGCCCTAGTCCTTACGAATGAGCCCTAGTTCTTATCATTGGGCCTGGTCCTTATCACCAAGGCTTGGTCCTCATCACTGGGCTCTAGTCCTGGTCACTGAGCCCTAGTCTTGGTTACTGGGCCCTGGTCCTAGTCACTGGGCCCTGGTCAAGATAACTGGTCCCTGGTCCTAGTCACCAAGACCTAGTACTGATCACTGAGACTTGGTCCTTATCACTGAGCCCTGGTTCTCATCACTGGGCTCTAGTTCTGATCATTGAACCCTAGTCCTGGTCACTGAGCCCTGGTCTTGGTCACTGAGCCCTGGTTCTGGTCATTGTTCCCCAGTACTCATCACTCAGCCCTGGTCCTGGTCACTGTGGCCTGATCTAATCACTGCACCCTGGTCCCAATCATCTTATTCTGATCACTTATCCACAGTCCTAGCCACTGAACCCTGCTCCTGATCACTGGTCTCTGGTAGGATCACTGAGCCCGGGTCCTGATCACTGGGTGCTGGTCCTGGTCACTGGCCCTGGTCCCAGTCACTCTGCCCTGGTCCTGGTCAGTAATCCCAATTCCTGGTCACTGAGCTCTTATCCTAAAAACTGAGTCCTAGTATTCAGTACAGGGTCAGGTCCTGACCCAATGCCCATTTATTCTGAGTTGGAGCCCTTGTTCATGGCCTGCATCACACTTAGATCTGGAGTCCTGTTCCCATGCTTTGGGTCCTTAGTCCTGACCTTCATCAGAAGTGACCCACATGAAGGAGAGGAATCCTCCCGGGGGATCCAAGACCCTCTTGGCCTGGGCACTGGATGGAGGATGAGGTGGTGACTCCCACATCTGGTTTCATCCTTTCCACAGCCCAGTGTGGTGTATAGGTGCTGACTTGAGGGAAAGAGAGTCAGCCCAAGTCCAGGGCCCAGGGGGCATGAGCCAGACCCCCAGTCCATGAGGGTCACCCACGCAGGGGTTACTGGGGGAGAGGGCTCAGGTGCAGGAGGGGGGCGGGGTAGGGGCAATGGTGTTTATGTTCTCTTGTTTTTCTCTTTCTTCTCAGGCTTCACCTGCTGAACACCCAAAATAGCCCTGGGGGGAGGCTGAGTCATTGTGAGTGCAGCCTGGCCCAGGTGTCCCCACCAGAGACTGCTGTTCCCAGAATCAGGCCCGAAAACCGAGACCTGGCCAGATGGGCCTTGGGCTTGGGCAAGGGGCTGGAGCCCAAAGGGCAATGTGGTGGCAGGGAGGTTCCCAAAACCTGCAGAATGCCCCAGCCCCCACCTCACATGGGCCCCCATCAGCCAGGGTTAACCAGGGTCTGTCCAGGGTCAGCTGGGACCACCTTGGATAGCTAACATCAGCCTGGGATCAGCCAGGGTCCACCAGGGTCAGGACTTAGAGAGGCCAAGGTCAGCCAGAATTAGACAAAAGTCATCCTAGGTCTGCCAGGGTCAGCCAGGGTCCACCAGGGTCAGCCCAGGGTCAGCCTAGGTTTTGCTAGGATCTGTGCAGGTGATTCTGACATCCATGCCATTCAGGCCAGGTCAGGGGGGCTCTGGCTGGCCACAGGACTCATTGGCATGCAGCCCCCAAGGGTTGTGAGTTTTGTGCCCAGAGAGCAGCCAGGCTGCGTGGGACCCTGGCATTACAGCCTGGCACTGACCTCTGCTGGCCCTGCACCCACGCACCCTCCCTCTCTCCCACCAGGGGCAGACCGTGGGCACAGCACACAGCCCGGGCCGTGGACCAGGACAGGCACACTCTCCACAGGGCTCACGGCAGGACCCACATCCCACACTTGGGGACACTGAGGGTCCAGGAAGGGGAGACCACACCAGGGTCAGTGAGAGAGTTAGAGTGGGAGAGACAGAGACAGGAAAGGAGAGAGACACAGAGATGGGACAGGAGAAAGGCACGGAGAGCTGCAAAGAAAATGTTAAAGACAAGGACACAGGGACAGTGGGGCAGGCCCAGGCACGGGCCCTGGGGGCAAGCCCCTCACACAAGTACCCGCACAGCCACACACACTCACACCCTCACACCCTGCTACCCACACTCACGGACGTGCCCCTGGCCACACAATGACCTCCTCACTCCCAGGCTCACACACTCACTCGCGTCCACAGACGTGGACATCCAGACGCCCACATGCACACGTCCACGCTCCCACCCACACTCCTCCCTCCAGGCCCTGGGGGCTCAGGGGGTCCCACCGAGGCTCACTCAGGCCCGGCCACTCCCTACCGGGCTGAGCAACATACCCAGGTGTCTGGGTCCCAGCCTCACCACTCACGGGACCTGAGCCCCCCCGCCCCCGTCCAGCCTTAGGGTCCCCTCTGTGAGGTGGGCACATGCCCTCTGCTCAGGGAAGGCCCCCCCCCAAATGGTGCCAGAGTGTGTGGCAGAGGTCAGCCAGCAGCCGGGAACAGCCGAGCAAGTCCCGGGACAGAGCCAGGGGGCTGTGCGCGGGTGGGGACAGAGCAGCTTGGGGACCCCGGTGCCCATCTGGGGTCTGGCCCCCACGGCCACTGGGATGCCCACCCAGCCCTGTGCACTCTGCACGGTCACTGTGCCGGCCCAGGCAGGCCTCTGGGCCTTGGAGAGAAACCCACAGGCCTGCCGGGGTCCCTAACAGGGGCCTGGGAGGAGGGGGCCCCTGAGGCAGGGGAGGCACTGGGATTCCAGCTGCAGGGCTCAGG